CCTCCTTCGGGCGTGGGAAAGAGCAGGGTGGCTGGCTGTGCCTTTAGCTTGCGACCCCTCAGTGCGGCAGGTCGGCACCGGCCCCGCCAGCCAGAGAGCTGGGTGGAGGAAACCGGACACCACGTGGCGGCGGTGCTTGTCGACCTACCCGGTACTTTGGCACCAAGTCCTCGCCGAAATACCGAGCCAGGCTGATTTGTCCACGACGTTACTCCATAATCTGTGAAAACTCTTAAGCGAATCTATCTGACGACTACGACGTGCACTCTCAACCTTACTGGCCTCTTGTAGTGAAACGATTGGACGGTTACCCGTAACCCCATACTCAAAAACCTAAAAGGAAAAAAAGTGGCGTATTAGGCCGTTTTGCAAAAGTAATCTGGTTAACAGGCTAACCATATAATTGAAAAAACTAGGGTTTTGAAAAATGAGAAAGTTAGTTGAGAGGAAGAAGCTCTTTTCTACAAGTTGTCGGTTAGTTTTAAATGCTTTCTTTTAAGCACATTATTAGATAAGGATGGACGATGGTCTTAAATTGAACGGCACGGGCTTCAACTCTGCTTTTAAATCAAGCAGACGTAAGATTTGTAAACGCTGCTAAAGAGGGAGACAGGACTGTAAATTGGGAAGCTTCCCTGTTAGACAACAAACCCTACTTATAAAATCTTAGCCGCTACACCCTTAAAAGCGGAACGCAGTTTCTGCGGGTGCAGTTTTCCTACCGGAGCTAGAGCCTGAGCCAACCTTCGCTATTACGCAAACGCAGAGCAGCTTACCGGATATGGAAGTGGTGGGCCTCTTGTGTGTGATAGCTGCGATCCTGATATGGGCACTTCTTTGGGTTTGGGACTCCTCAGAACTAAAGAGAAGTCGGGAGCAAGCTGGCCTGCTGGGAGCTGGAAGCCGGACCCTACTCGTGACTGCTCACCCAGATGATGAGGCCATGTTCTTTGCTCCCACCGTGCTAGGCTTGGCCCGCCTGAAACACCAGGTGTCCCTGCTCTGCTTCTCTGCAGGTAGGAAGCCTTTGATGGGCACTGGGAACCGGGACTCTGTAGGGATTTCTGTGTTAACCGATCTCAGTGGACTTCTTACCAAAGGGGTTTTTTTGCTGTAGGGAGCTAAGTAAATATACACCGAAGGTCCTTTCTGAATTTCTCACAAGCTGTAAGATTAGTCAGCTTCCCTGGTGGGTTGGGAAACACACCTGCAGCGGTCCTACTAGGAGAACTGAGGAGCAGAAAAGTAATTACTCGCCGTTGGTTTCATATTGTATCTGCATTTCCTTTGAGAACTGCAACTGTATACGTTATTCTGTGGAACCTTTTTACAAAAAGATCAAGGATAATGATCTTTTTAAAAAAAGAATAATAATCTTACTATATGTACTGCACCAAACAGAACCAATATATATTGTGCCTGTTCGCTTCTCATGGTAGCAGAGAACCTTATTGCTGCTTTAAAATTAATTTGTGCCAGAAAGATGCATGCGCCAAATTGGAGAAGTTGACGCAGATGCTTAGAAAGTAATTGTATAATTTTAGTTTATCTCCACTCACCCTTCTTTGAAGGAGGCTTTCAAAGAATAAGCCTTAGCCAGGTGTGATGAGCATGCCTGTAATCCCAGCACACGGGAGGCTGAGGCAGGAGGATTGTTATGAGTTCGAGACCAGCCTGGGCTACACAGTGAGCTCCAGGGCAGTCTGAACTACATAGTAACACACTGTCTCAAAAACAAAACAAGACAAAAAGAAGCAAGGAATAAACCTTGTGTTTTGCTACAGAAAAGATTAAATGAGAAAAAAATTACCACAACACTTAATTATGGTGATAATTCACAACTGTATAAATGAAGCAATTGGACTGTACACATATAATGGGTGAATTTTAGAGTATGTCGTTATACCTCAATAGAGCTGTTTTTTTAAATTGCCCATGACCTCTTTTCTCATTTGCTTGTGTGTTGTTCTAGTTCTTTTTCTACAGAGATTTTTCACAGAAATCACATTTTATAAAGTTAGATTTTTTTTACTTGACATTACTTTTTTATTTAACATATACTTATTAAAAACATTGATGCTACACCTTATTCTATGTCCATTTCATTAGCACTGGTTTCAAAATTGGCCATTTTAAGGCTTTATATGCAAATCATTCCAAAACATACCAATTAACATTCTGACTGGTAGTAATAATATTTATCTTGATATATTATCCTCTCTAGCATTGACTAGTGTTTTTTAATGTTTCTGGATTTGTGCAATATTTTTTCTGAAATCTTTTGTTAATGGTAAGATTCATGTTTAGTGATAATTTGGACCTAAGCACTTTTCATTGTGTTCTGTTAAGGATACTATTTGTGAACAGTTGCAAGTTAAAACACCTTTTTTCTTTGCTTTTAATTTTATTTATATTTGATATTACAACCATGGGAGTGAAATTATAAGCAAGTTTGTTTCAAAATCCACAAGAGAAAACTATATTTTATTTGCAAAATATTATAGATGCAGTGTATTCTTTAATAAATGTCTTCATATTTTCAATATGCTTATACAAATTTAGGACCAGGAATCAAAATTTTGTTGGTGGTGGTAAGGATTGAACCCAGGGTCTCATGTACGCTAGGCCAGAACTGTATCACTACACTATAGTCCTAGGCCCCTCAAATTGTTTCTTTTTTTTTTTTTTTTTTTTTTTTT